TCTATGAAACAAAATACTGAAAGCTTGATTTAAAAATATTATTAGTGCATCTCCTTCCTTTCTTTTCTTCTCTTCTTTTTTTTTTTTTTTAAATTTATATATATATATATATATGCAATATAGCTGTGATAGAATATCCAGCAAATACTCGTTTTGTTTTTTCTATATATACTTATTATTTCTTTTTCTTTCTGTGTAATTAGATTGATCAAATCTTCCTTCTCAGTCTTATATTTAAATTTAATAATGATAATAATCTTGTGTACATATACTGTTTTGTTTTATTTAGTTAGTCAGTTTTCTTCTTTTCTTTTTTTAAAATAAAAAATAATTATATAGGACCTGGTCAATACAAGTACACACATAACCGTATGCAAGATATATTATGTACACAAAATGAATTTATTTTATCCTATTTAATCTTACCGATAAGGAAGCAATAATCTTTTTACTTCATCTCATTTCTATCACGTTGTTTCTAGTTATAAATTGTTCTGCATTTCACAATGGTTTTTTCATTTTCTTTCATTAGTTGTTGAAACATTCACGCGTAAAAAGTACATTGCCTGCTTACTTTACTACCGCAAGTTTTCAATTTATCCACCCTCTTGTTTACCCTTCTTCCCTACGTCACTTGCTCCGTTTCACTTCATTTACCATTCATATGAACTTTAATTACAGACAAAATTAAAATAATCTTATATCGTTAAAAATGTGGACAAAAGTGGTTTAGAGTTTTTCATTATCTTCATCTTTTTTCTCAAAACACACTGTTCTTAACGAGTGGAGTGAACTTGTATTACTTCTTGTTTTATTAATTACTCTCTACATATTTTTTATTTTAAATTATTATTAATATTATTATTAATATTCCCCTTATTATTATCAATCTTTCATCTATTGCTTTCCCATTTGCACAAGGTGAAGAAAAGAAATTAATGATTGTAAAGACATATAATTGTAATTTACGTTATAAAATATTAAGTCGTGTGGATATAAAAGGCGTGTGTTCTTTTTCGTTTACATTAACGTATTCATTGTATTTTTTTTTCGGGTCAAATGTATACACGCACACATATGTATAAATATATAGATATATATATATATATATATGTTATTGAAAACTACACTCGTATTAATTGTGCCCATTTTTCTTTTATTTTCTTTGAAACAATTTCGTTAGCTATATTTAAAAAAAAATGCAGACGTGCTTTTTTTTTTTTTTTTTTTTTTTTTTTTTTTTTTTAAGTTAAACGTAAATATAAGATCTCTTGTACACACACACGCCTCACACAGCATTGAATATATATATACATATATATATATATATATATACACATACACGTGTTGTATACAAATGCACCCACACATATATTTATATATATATGTATGTATGTATATATATATACATACATATATGTAATAATAATTATATATTCCTATGAAAAGTTAATACTACCTATTATTAATTAAATGTAAGATACTTAGAGATAAATTAAAAATAAAAAGAAAAAAAAAATATGGAGATAAGTCAATGAGAGTTAATGAGAGAAAAATAGTCTTTTTTTGTTAAGTTTTTAAACTATAATAAGATATATAATAAGTTTTTAGTTGACTGCTATTTCGTACAAAGGGGTAAACGAGAGATGGAAGCAAAACTTATGTACATACATATACGCATTTAAAGAAATATATACATGTGTATATGTATATACATTATGTATTTTCATTTTTTACTTTTTTCTTATTTCTTTCTTATTTCGTTTTTTTATCTGTGAATATTTTCTTACGTTCTTGCGAAAACGTTGTTGTTTTTACTCTAAAATTTCCACAATGCTATTAATTAATATTATTAATATTTTATGTTTAAACGCAACATGATCAACTATTTTACTGTTATTTCCTTTTTTTTGTTTAATTGTGTGCATCTCGGTGATTGAATTTATTTTGCGGCAGTTGTTGTCTGCGTTGTTGTTGTTGATGATGTGGTTGTTTATTAATGGAATGATGATGATCTGACGATTTACGATGAATTTTATGTAGCAAACCTAGAAAAACAGAAGAACAAACAATTGTTAATTGCAAATCTTTTTCTTTCTCTTATATTATAAATTCTCGAAATAAAAATATATAATTATTAAACTGTTCTTCAATCGTTTAGGTCATTTAGGAAGCTCGAATTATTGCACTTACACCTCATATTGATTTATTATTATTTTTTTAATAAACAAGGATCAAAGTGATCACAGTTATATGAAAATTTTTTTAAATAAAAATACAGCAGAGAAAAATTTAAGGAATGGAAAATATAAAAGAACATAATAGTACAAAAAGAAACTGATAGTCACAAACAAAGGATGATCACAGTTAACACATACAATTATAATATGATCACTATGAATTTTTTTGAATGAATTAACTTACCTGTGTTTGCAATGAATATAACATTGCAGTTGCAAGTAAAGATTTCCATTAATAAGGTTGGTGCCTTTGATTTTGGCGACCTCCCCTCTGCTTGCCGCCATAGCCTGAGCCTCCTGAAACAATCCCATAGGACGCGTTAGTCAAATAAACTTACTTAACTAACTAACTAATTAACTACTACTACTATTACTACTACTACTGCTACTACTAATATTAATAATAATCCTTCCCAAACTTTTTTTATTTAGATTAAAATATTATTAATATAAAAATAGAATGAACTATAATATATATGTGAAAGAAAAGATATTTAGCATATAGATTATTCCACACGCACACTTTTATAATAGAAAATAATGTAAAAATAATAACGAGAAGATATAATAATAATAATATTAATAATAATAATATTAATAATAATAATATTAATAATAATAATAATAATAAATAGAGAATCTATATAGAGGCTACAGGCTAAGGTAGTAAGCTGCAGGCTGCGTGTTCCATTTTATAATTCTTCCTGTGTCCTATACATTTCTGGAAAGTTTTTCATTAGCTGAAATATTTTTTTTATGAAAAGCTTTCAATGCTTTTCAAAAATATTTTACTTAAATATATATATCGGTATTATGTACATTAGATATCGTTAACAACGATTTCGACGATTTTCTTATCATCCTTTTCGTTGTTTTATTTAAAAAAAAAACTTTAACAAATATGAATTACCAGAAATGTTTAAGGCTAAGGAAAATTAACATGAAATTAAATCAAAGGACGTGTAGATGAAATTGTGATAAGCAGAGAATCAATCTCTTTCCTTTTTTTATGATACTTTTAAAGAGTTATACGTCGTAGTTGATATAATATATATATATTCTTTTTACCAAGATTAAAAATTTAAGCATGAGACAGGAAAAATATTAAATTATAGATCAAATTATAACGATATCAATAACTCTTTGCAAGCATTATAATTAACAAATATTAGTGACAATACATCCAAAGGTGAATCATTCAATACCGAAGATGAGATAACGTTATGATTAAATATATATATATATATATAAAGCTGATATGGTTAACAAAATTAATCGATTAGTATTCCTAAACATGACTGTTATTTTCGTGAATGAAAAATGATTTAAGCGATATTAATATTTTTTTTTTTGGGAAGCAATATGGTTAAGAATTATAATATTTGATTGTACGATCAACAGTAAAAATAATTAAGACAGGGAGATATTTAAACAAACAATATTATCAATACATTATTTTCAGATGATTGATGATATAAAAATGTATTACTTTTCTCACACATTCATACATACGTATATACATGCATTCAAGTGTGGAATTATTATATATACACATATCTTTTTAATCTTATGCATAAGACGCATAGATATGTTTATATATAAAATCAAGAAGAACAAAAATAGATATAAATAAATAAACAAAATAAATTATAAATAAAAGGAGGAAAATATACAGATAGGGAATAGACATGGGAGAATTGAATGAAAATGAATTGATACAGGGGAGAGATAATATTATTACTTCCTTATGAGGGGTTTATATGCATACAGAAAAAGTTAATATAAATAAATAAAAAAGAAATATATCTATATAATATAATAAAAAATGCGTATTTAAACCAATCAAATGATTTAAAAAAAAAAAAGAAAAAAAAAAAAAAATGAAATATGTCATGGGAAAATTACAAAACAATAGAGAGAAGGAACGCTAATGCGTACCTTTACCGCGTGCACCACCGCGCCCGCCACTGTAGCCACCATCGTAACTACCACCGCCATATCCATAGCCGTCTGCGTTTCATGGAACACACGGTATAAAGAGACAATGGGATCAGTATGGTAATAGTATACGCGTTAGAAAACACGTTTAATTAAAAAAAGCTTTTTTTTTTGTTAAAACGATAAAATTTACGTTAACTAATTATCTTTGATCTATTAATTAACAAGATTAATCAACTTAAAGAGAATATTTTTAATCAAAAACCATTATTTATCTTATTATTTTTTTTTTCTTTTTTTTTCTTACTTTTTTCCTTCTGTTAAAACGAATTTCGTCTTTACTATGTATATATTTAATATATTTAATATATATATATCTACTTATATATCTTAATATTTAAGATCTTATTCTTAAGTTCGTGTTATGCTTATTTGAAACAAAAACTAATATTACATCTTCCAAAGGGTTTTTTTCTCATTCGTTTATGCACATCTCATGAAATTTTGTAAGTGCTGAGAGAGAGAGATTGCTGTTTAACTTTTTTTTGTCAAAATTATTATTTTTCGTATCGATCATTATTATTATTATTATTATTATTATTATTATTATTATTATTACTATTATTTTATTTTGAATTGTATGAACAACTATGGATAATAGTTTTTGCATGCACGAACTGATTAACAAACAACTATTATTGCAAAAATGAATTTTCATTATTTGTAGTACCAAATATGTTCGCCACTGTCATTAAGGATGATGATAATAATAATAATAATAATAATAATAAAAGGATATATGTATATACGGATGGGAACGGATTTGTATGAAAGAGGGAGAGAAAAAAGGAGAGTGGAAGAAAAAGATTCTATTCAATTATGCGGCTATTTTTTTTTTTTTTTTTTTTTTTTAAATTTTTGTTGTTTGTTCTCGTTTGATAGAGGCCGAAATGTACGATCCAAAATTGTACAATTACTCGAATGAACTTTTTTCTTGGGGGGGAGAAGGGGGCACGATAGATAAAAATTATTGAATTCATTTTTCTTACGTGGATTCGATTTTTCTTCGGAAAAGTAAAATCTTTTAAGAGATACTGGATTACAATAATGAAAAAGAATAAAATAAAAAAAAAAATAAAATAAAATAAATATATGCGATAGATGAAAAGTCGAAGAATAGCAATATTGTTGAGATATGCTTGATGAATATCATTGTAAAGAATGATGATCATGAATTATGATTAATGAAAACATGATAGAAGCATGCATGAGATTCATACATACATATATATATTTATACTTATGTAAATAAATATATATACATATTTTGTTTTTCTTGCCAATATAGGATAAAAAGCAGGAACGGAAGGTTCAATATACTATTTTATACGACATATTTGTCCTGTACATTTTTGCTTTAATGTTCTCCAAATTTCAATTCATATATAATTATGTTACAGTGATTGCGTGCCTTTTGAGGTCAGCGAGTCTGTAGAATAATAAGAAGAAGAAGAATATATACTCATGAAAACCGAAAAAAATGGAAAAACTACAAATTTTATATTCCACTGATTCACTGACATCAATCAGTGAACGTATGAAATGTTACGTATCATTAAAATTTGCAAATTTATTTGTATTAAAACATTTTAAATAAGTTAATTTTTAATATTAAAACGTGCTTCTAAAATTTTTTTTTTTTACTTTATATTCGTTGTGTAAGTAAAAAAGTGATAATATTATTTAAGAAATATTAAAACAAAAAAGAATAAACACGAGCCGGTGTGTTATATGTATCAAATAATAAAATTCTAATCGTGCCACATTATTGATCTCTCTTCCCATTAAAAACTTATAATGAGAGTATGTTTAAAAAAGAAAATTCGTAATTGTTTTGAAAACTAGAGACTTCACACATTCACTGTTACATATATTATATGACATGTTCTTTAATTAATCGTTAATATTATAACCATTCGCACGTGTGTTATATATGTATATATGTTATGTGTGTGCGTGTGTGTTATATATATATATATATATATATATATATACGTATCTCTTTATGTACGTAACATGTGTGTATTTATGTATAATATGTTTTGTTTAAATCTGTGTAGTAAGTTATTCGTGTTAGTTTAATATTAACAAGGCATCAAAGAATATAACTTAGTAAATTGTTAACTTTAGTTGGTCATAGCTTCTTAAACAGCCAACCCTCTGGAAGTAGGCATTCGGATTATGTTCGCAAATCTCTACATTATATTACTACTATTTAATATATATGTATTATATTTATTATAGATAATGGATATTTATATCTATATATACATATGTAAAGAAGTATATTGTTACAGGATTTTTATCAATTAAAGCCAGAATAGCAGTGTGTATATATCACAACTACTATTATTTTAAATCTACCGTATTATATTTAGAGAATTTAAAGGAACATAATCCGAAAAAGACGGGTTATCATTTTCCTACATGTTTGAGCTGCTGGTTCATACAAACACACACAAGCGCGCGCACCATTTTTTTAATGCAAATAAAAAACCAATCACTGATATAGATATATGTATATATCACCGAGAGTAAGGAACTTGTACGTCTATGCGATAAATTTCTAATACTCGTGTGTGTAATATAATATTAATAATAAGAGAAAAAGGTATTTTTTGTTTTAGTTCAAACAAACAAATAAATAAACAAACAACCAACCAACCACAAACAATCAATCAATCGACCAATTAACCAACTAACCAACTAACTAACTAACCGACTAACCGACATTATAGATTTGATTTTATCTAACGGATTAGTCGCTGATCCGCCAGCAAACCAGCACTCACCCTGCAGCATCGGTTAGAATTAATATCACACATCGTATATAATATTTTTTTTGTTACGCATGATAAATACTATTTTAATACCAAACTTTTCAATATCTATCCGTCTGTATATAACGATACTACTAAATAGTAGTACACATATATGTATATATGTTTTGTTATGTTGGCAGACGATCTTCACATATTCAGCTTTAAATATTAGTAATTAAGCATTAAATATATGTATATTTTTGTCATGCCTCATCAAACCAACCATAACGATAATTATTAATAATATATTAAATTTATTTGTTTGTTCTTTTTCTTTCTCCTTTTCTCTCATTCTATCACACTCTCTCCCTCTCATTCAACCAAAAAAATAGAAGAGGAAAACTAAACAAAAAAGTGAAAACAAAAAAAAAACACAAACAATCCTTACATTCTAATTAAAAAGTCTGAACTATAATTGATTTTAATATAGGTAACTTCAGTGATAAGTGTTAAAAATATTATACGGTAAATATTAGCATAATCGTCTGCCGAATACACTGGGACGGTAACGATTGCTATTTTCTTTCTTTTGTTTATTTTCTTTTTAATTTTTAAAATTTTTGACTTTGACTTTTCTTTCGTTCAAGTAGAACTAACAAACACGTGTGTTTTTCACGTGATTTAAATTCTTTACTTTTTTTTTTTTTTTTTTAATAATAGTCAATAAAATTACCGTATCCACTATAGTCGTAGCCGCCATAGCCGCCGTACCCACCGCCATAATAATCATAGCCACCGCCATAACCGTCGTAGCCTCCACCATAGCCTCCTTGGCCGTATCCGCCACCATAACCGCCGCCATAACCGCCTTGACCCCAACCTCCTTGGCCTCCAAATCCACGACCTCTACCTCCACGGCCACCCCGGCCACCCCGACCACCTGCACCACCACGCATTCCACCCATGCCATCTGGTTTCGGAGTAGCTTTCTTAACGTCAACCTAAATCATCATTTCAATTTTGTCGTTATGTTACTACATTTTATTTATATGAATAAATAAAAAATGTCTCATCATTTTAATACAAACCTCTTTGCCATTAATAGTTTGTTTTGGTGTTTTTAATAGTTCATTTACAACTTGTTCAGACTCAAACGTAATGAAGCAAAATCCTTTACGTTGATTCTTTGTCTTATCAAAGGGCATCTCTACATCTACGATCTGTAAAATGATAAATGTATACACTTCGATTAGTATTAGTTGAGAAATATTATATTTTAGTTTTTATTTAAATTACACGTGAGATTACTACTTACAGTGCCAAATTGCGAGAAGAAATTTTTAATATCATCATCTGCTAATTCTGTTGGAAGACCTCCAACAAAAATTTTTCCATGCCTGGCTTTAGCTTTCTTCGGATCTACTTTTTTATTATTAATCACATGGTCACCGGAAATGATCTATTAAAAATATCAATTCTAAATTATAGGGTTGTGTAATAATCTATTATTAAAGAAACACTTTATAGATTTTAGATAAATTTCTTCAGAAGTAGAATATCGTCATGCACATTCAGTAGCAGAACTGGTACTTTAAATATCATCATAGAATTTATATGTATATATATATATATATAAAAAAAAAGAAAATATTTTCAGATATTATTGACAATTATGATAAATAGAAAAAAATCCTCAAACAATTCTCAATTACCTTATCTAAGGATTCAGCTTTAGCAAATACAATAAACGCGAATCCGCGTGATCGTCCCGTATTTGGATCAGTTTTAACATTGATGCTTTCAATATCACCGTAAGCACCGAAATGATCTCGAAGTTCCTCTAAAAAGATATAGAATACAATTAAATAATTAAATTCTAAAGCATTCAAATTTTGTTCTCCATGTAATATTGAAATAAAAATATTTAATATGTGCTAAAAGCTCAGAAACAAAGTGTTCTCATCTGACTATTGTCATCTGAAGGTGTCCTAAGGTTAAAATGTGTACATCATTGCTTAAAAGCACTTTTTCTTTTTTCTTTTTTAAAAATTATTTGATTACTTCTTTCAATAAAATATTAGTACTCACTGTCCGTTGTTTCCCAACTCAGTCCACCAACAAACAATTTCCTGTTAAAAAGATAAAAATAAATAATAAATTAAAATTATCAGACGCGAGCATGTAAAACCTATACTCTACGAACAAATTAATTTAATTTAGTAGCAATCACAACCGACTATCATTTAGATATGTAACTTTGAAGTTAAATATATTTCTTTTTTTTTTTTTTTTTTTTTTTAATTGTTCAAAATTTAACTACATCGTGTGTTTAGAAAATATTAAAATGAAAAGAAAAAAAGAATTAAAATGAAAAAAAAAGAGAGAGAGAGAGAGAAAAGAAAATAATACAAAATAAAATATACCTATCGTTTAGAGAATCCTGGTTACCTCCGGCCGACCTGTAAACCAATCGAATAAATATATTTTAATAAGAGTTTAATAAATTATCCTTTAGAAATATATTTAAATATTAAGGATTAAAGGGCGAAGCAAAAAATTTGTTTAATTTTGTTACGAACTATCCATTTATATGTATATGTATGTATATATATTTCAAAAAGGAGTTTAGACTTGACCCCTGGAAAAATTAGAATCATTTGTTAAAATTATTTTAAATTTAATATTGATAATACACAAGAGAGAGAGAGAGAAACGTAAAAGACCAGTTGTCATTTGGAAAAGGGGTTCTGGATAAAAGCTCTCAAGTATTTGGTGAGGAACTTTATTTAGCGGATGTAAGTAATTTATTAATTAAATATGCTTCATATAATTATATGTAATGTATATATATATATATAATTACGTTTACGTTTATATATATCATTTACAAGACTTAATATGATGTTAAGTTAAATAACACCGGTATTTTTTATACTGCCTACCATGAGAATGAGTTGGAAAAAATATAACTTTTGTATCAACAAAAATATCAGTAATAGATAGTTTCTTTCTTATTTTTCTTTAAAAGATACAAAAATTAATTATCAATATAAAATGTTCATACCATTCCTAAAATAAATTTTCATCGTATAGGCAACTTTACCATATATTCTATGAAATAACAAATGTGCATTTTATAATATATATCCTCAGTACGTGAAACAAAAGAATTGTAACAACCAACCATGTGATGACAGCTCTGTATATACACCATAAAAAGAAATCATAATTTGAATTTTTAAACAAGAGTATATATATATATATGTTTCAAGAAATAATAATAATAAAAAAAATAGAAAAAAAAGAAGAGAGAATTGAAGGGAAAGAACTTGGAAAAAGTATGCGCATTGGAAAATTAACGTATTTAGAGATCAAAATACTTTTCATGACGTTTTTGCGAACCCAAGAGAGCTACACAATTAGAACTCCGGTTGAGATACTGCTGCTCCTAAAGGAAACAAGATTTAACTTTTCCAAGTTGAACTCTGACTGCTGATTGGCCCAAAGAATTGGCATATCGTAGATAGTACTGCAACTCTATTAAAAAGCTAAAAGAATATTGTTTTCACATTACAAGTTAATATGCCGGTCATTTTTCTTCGTATACTTTTTAAATCTTTATCATTTATCTTTTTTTCATTTAAGTTTAAACTTATATATGCACATATGATATTGGACATTGATATTTAATATATTATATGTATTATGATAATATTATATTGTTTCTTTGTTTATATAGTCATCGGCAAAATATCTATTATTGTTTCAAGTCCTGATATACTTTTTCGTTTTTTTATAGATATAGATATTTATATATATATATATATATATATCTATTTATATAAAAAATATATATAAATTTATATATATATTCAAATTATTAGCTGCAATATGATATCAGTTTTTTTTTCTTTGTGGTTATAGTTGTCTTTACTTAGATAATGATCTTTCATATATCATCTAGGGCTGGTGATAAATACCGTAGGCACCAGTCACTCGCCGCTTATCAGTTGTCGGTCGGGTCACGGTTAGCCGGTTGCGAGCCGCCCGCCATAATCGCACTGGGTCGTTTGCCACCTGCAGACCAAGCCACATAAACGGAGTTAATGGCATTTTTTTCATTTGTTTATCGATTCCTAAAATTGTGCTTTATCACGCCCAAACAGGATTGACATCATATCAGAATTTACTCTACGCGTGTTCCAGCAGGCAAGTGTGTCTGTGCGAGACTTATTGATCTGACGCAATTGACTCGACTTCCAGTGCTTGTGTAGTGACGAAACATGACGGACTTGAACTTGACGTTGACTTCTCACAAAATTCAGACTCAAAAGTCATTCATAAGTCTTCACGGTTTGGTTCTCAGATCCCAGGAAATCGTACATTATTGTCAATCGTTAACAATTGACTAACCAGAATTCTGCTGCAATGAATGTATGAGGAAGATTCTCGGCTGTCCAAAAACGTATTTAAAAGTTAACACTCTATAAAAACATTACAATCATTATTTGCGTTTACAAACTTGAATCATCAATAATAGAATCACAAATTTTCTTTATTAGAATTATCACAGAACTATAATAGAGAATTAATTAAGTAGGTAGGAGAGCAGAAATAAGGAGTTTACACAAAGTTATAAAAAATTTTTAAATAAACTTATACCTCGCAACAACAGCACAATAAAAAAATTTACAACTAAGACTTATCATCATTACGCATTATATTTACCTTATATATCTTATTGTCTCATCATGCATTATACTTTACTTCGACTTTGAAATTGACTAATAAGAAAAACAAAACAGTGGAGTAACGGCTTTCGGTCATTGATTTTCTTCGCGTTCTACATTGAGTTCTCATCCCTGAACACCTACCGCATGGGTAAGAGAAAGTATACCTTCAAATTTATAAACCAGAAATTTATCACCCTCAAAATACCATAAAATATTTATGCAGTCTCAAAAACAGAATTATCTATTACTGAATGCTACTTTAAAATTTGTAGGTTACATTCGCTTTCCCAAATGAACTTTTATACATCTCTACATTTAATCTAATAATGCTTACCCATTTTTTTTTTTTTTTTCTCAAAAAACATACCCCAAACTATGAGCAAGAGTTTGCGATAATCCAAGGCTGTAAGGATGGTAAAAGAAAAAAAAGAGAAAAAAAGAGAAAAAGAGAAAAAACAAGGAGTCGATTCCTTAGTATCAAGAAGTCCAAAATGCTGCGACAAAAGTAAAGGATCAAAAAAAAAACGGCATCAAAATGTAAGAACACAAAAGAAAAGTAATAATATTTACATAGATCAAGAATCCGACAAAAAATCGTTACACATCAGACTAATTACAGACGAATCCGGTGTGACTTAAATCATCCAGCTCGAGTTCTCGTTACGCTGAAAAAGGGAGTAAAGGCAACAAAGGTGCTGCTACGTAGCTAACTGAGAGATAAAGAGCAAAAGAGAGACAAATTCTTATGATATACATAAATTTGATTGATAAAATTAAATTAATATCTCTCAAAAGACAGGAAATACAACAGCATCCTTGATTAATCTATTTTCAATAAATAAGAGAAAATTTGATGTTTCATTTCTTTTATACACTTACTCTTTTGAATCGATAATAATTATATATAGACAAATATATATATTACTCTCGAATCGATAAACATGAATGTAGTAAATTGACTAGTAAAAGAGATGGAGATGAAAAAAATCTAAAGAAATGTTCTTTTTTTATTGGAACGAAACTCAATGTAAAACGCGATAAAATACGCAAAGGATATGCCCAAGCGTGTTGTAAATGAGAAAAGAAAAATAATTTGATATATATTGAATGTATGTATATATAGAATTAATAAGTATAACCCAAAGCCCGCCATTTTATATGCCTGTTCCACGCTAACGAACGAAGGAATGGAGGAACGTGAATAGAGGAACGACGCGTGGGCGCGTCCCTCTGAAAACCTACGGCCGGCATCTCCACTTGTTTTCTTTTCAGAATCACCATGTATATATATATTAAAATATGAAAATACTTGGAATCCGTTGGGAAAAAAGAAAGTTACCAAATGTTTAATCATAGTAACGTCACGCTGGTAGTACAATTGCAAAAATTGTGACCGCTCATTCTCCGTCTGATGTCGTTGGATTACTTTTTTATTTTTTGTAACACCGTAAAGGGAAAAGCTGCCGCGTCCGCCATTTTGTCATACGCGATTGTACCAAATGAAAGCAAGTCTCGACGCGATAATAGATGTAATAATCTATATAAAATATATATATATATATATATATATATATATATATATATTTTATATAGATTATTACATCTATTATCGCGTCGAGACTTGCTTTCATTTGGTACAATCGCGTATGACAAAATGGCGGACGCGGCAGCTTTTCCCTTTACGGTGTTACAAAAAATAAAAAAGTAATCCAACGACATCAGACGGAGAATGAGCGGTCACAATTTTTGCAATTGTACTACCAGCGTGACGTTACTATGATTAAACATTTGGTAACTTTCTTTTTTCCCAACGGATTCCAAGTATTTTCATATTTTAATATATATATACATGGTGATTCTGAAAAGAAAACAAGTGGAGATGCCGGCCGTAGGTTTTCAGAGGGACGCGCCCACGCGTCGTTCCTCTATTCACGTTCCTCCATTCCTTCGTTCGTTAGCGTGGAACAGGCATATAAAATGGCGGGCTTTGGGTTATACTTATTAATTCTATATATACATACATTCAATATATATCAAATTATTTTTCTTTTCTCATTTACAACACGCTTGGGCATATCCTTTGCGTATTTTATCGCGTTTTACATTGAGTTTCGTTCCAATAAAAAAAGAACATTTCTTTAGATTTTTTTCATCTCCATCTCTTTTACTAGTCAATTTACTACATTCATGTTTATCGATTCGAGAGTAATATATATATTTGTCTATATATAATTATTATCGATTCAAAAGAGTAAGTGTATAAAAGAAATGAAACATCAAATTTTCTCTTATTTATTGAAAATAGATTAATCAAGGATGCTGTTGTATTTCCTGTCTTTTGAGAGATATTAATTTAATTTTATCAATCAAATTTATGTATATCATAAGAATTTGTCTCTCTTTTGCTCTTTATCTCTCAGTTAGCTACGTAGCAGCACCTTTGTTGCCTTTACTCCCTTTTTCAGCGTAACGAGAACTCGAGCTGGATGATTTAAGTCACACCGGATTCGTCTGTAATTAGTCTGATGTGTAACGATTTTTTGTCGGATTCTTGATCTATGTAAATATTATTACTTTTCTTTTGTGTTCTTACATTTTGATGCCGTTTTTTTTTNTATATATATATATATATATGTATAATTGACCACACGAGTAAAAAACGTTAAAAAAATTACGTGCGTCAGAACGAATAATAATAATTTATTTAAACGCGTCTCGCAATCCAAGTTGGAAAGCAATCTTGGGAGAGAATATAAAAGATCGAGAAGAAAATTTACCTGTCTTCCTGCGACTCCTGGTTGTTTTCAGCGGCGTCCCCGCCGCCACCATTTTCCGCTTCACCGTTCTGCTCAAAGTTTTGATCAGCGATATCTTCGCTGAAGTCATTATTCTCTTGATCAGCCATATTTTAACGCGAATGAATTTAATCGAAGGTTATGCGTTTTATCAAAAAGAGAAACAAAAGTTCGATAGAAAGATATAAATTAACACTATAAAGAAAACACGTTATCTACAATTTAAGGGAGGAGAGAAAAAAAGTCCGAGTGTTCCGACTAAAACGTTTACGAACTGCACGAGCTATTACACTTTGTAAGATATGAACAGCTCGTCTTACAGTGTTCTCTGAAAGAGAGAGTGGCTCTAACATCCGTACGGCTCGGAAGCTTCTACGCAATGCATCACGGGATGCCCATCTCCTAGCTGCTACGCTGACCAACCAATCGCGTTGTTCCTATTCAGTGCCGTCTTCGGTGGTCCTCGTCCCCCGATTGGATCGCCGGTAAATTCTACGATCTATGCCGGCTAAAAAACAAATCATTATCGATCAATATCAACTCTAATAATAATATATAACGTATTAGTAACATATACTAAGCTTAGATATTACGATACAACAGTATTATCCTATTGAAACATATTTGTATTTGTTAATTGTTTCTTACGAAACGAAAGAAAAAAAGGACAATAAAGAAAAAGCAAGGTAGGTTTATAGAAGAAAATACATATTTTAGTGTATATACTCGAATAATTGAATGTACGAGATATCGAGAAGATAAATTATTCGTATCTAATGAAATATTAAAATCTACGAGAGTAATAGAAACCAAGTAAAACCAAAAATTTTAACAATCTATTGAAGCCTCATGGCATCATAAGCGTTGACGCCTAATATTCCATGATTAATACGTTCCTGAAGTTTCGATCAATGTGAGAAATTGTGAAACGGAAGAGAGAGACGTCGGGCGGCGGATGTGGCGGCATTTCGTTCCCGGGATGAATCGGCTTCGATATGAGAGTAAACGTACGGAAGAACGTCGCCATTGGTCGAGATTGGCGGCAAGCGTCTGTAATCGACCAATCAAAATTTATATGAGATCCCGCTTCTTTGCCTAGTTTTTACTTCCCACAATTCCAAGCGCGCGCGTATGCTACTATGAAGAAATCAATAATATATATTATATTTATCAATGGATTCTCAGAGTAAAGCGTTTACGCGCGCTATTATTAGTAATAAATATTATTATAATATTAATTGATTAATATTAGAATGTAAATCGAACCTATTAATATTTGTATTATATAAATGATGTTTTTATAGGGCTTACGTCTGATTGGGAGATTATAATATTCGACTCTTACGAGTGTAAACTTTAATGTATGTATGCATGTGTATATATGCATACATGTATGTTTCAGTGAAAAAATGTTTGTTCAATACGGTAGTGTTGGTATCGTATTAAATGATATACTATTTTGTAATTTACTACATTTCAATATAACTATCGTCAGCATGCGAATACTTCTTTATTTTTTTTATTACTTTTTTCTCTCTTTTTATTTTTATTATTATTGTTATTATAATTTAAAGAAAGACACAAACGAATTTTTTAGTTAATGACTAACAAGAAGTCCTCTTTCCCCTACTAAATTATACCATAAATAATTGCTCAAATTTTAGGATTATTTGATGATAAACAAATAATTGAAAGTTAATCGATATTTAATTAAGTTCGATAAGCTAATCGAACGATTAATTTTTGTAACTAACTTCAATTAGTGTTCATGAAAATTGTTTGTACGCTTTCACCATTTTGTAGGAAAAATTTCAACGTGTAGAAGGAAAAGACCGAGGTCATCGAAATGCCTGAGGAACAGAAGGTGGGCTAGTCCCCTCGTGTATTCCTAAAATAGGATGTCGGTGAAAATGAGGAGGGGAGAGAGAGAGAGAGAGAGAGAGAGAGAGAGAGAGAGAGAGAGAAAGAAAGACAGAAAGAGGGGAAGAAAGAAGGGAGATGGACAAGGGGAGAAAGCAGAAAGAGGGACTTTGGACTAAAGCAGATTTTATGCTAGCACGTTTCACTATTCACTAACTCATGCTACTACACACGTGTGTGTGTGTATTCGTAGGCCCTAAAACTACAGGATGTCTGGCGTACTTGTAATAAAATACGTGCTGCGATATTTCGTACGGGGCTTAATCTTTGGGACTATTACAAACCCTTAGATCCCGAAAACAACAGTTTGATTTCAGGTAATAAAATTTTCAATAGTGCCAAGTTATACGAACAATTTCGAAAACACGAGGCAAACAAGGATCCCAGAATTTTGTGATTCATTGAAGATTTCATTTTAAGATTGTAGGACAAACAAATATATATTTACGAATACTCAAATATTTTTTTTTTTTCTTTTTTTTGAATATTAAAACTAAATTGTTTTTATTTGAGATAGCTGCTTTCAGTATAACTTGGCCAAAAATTATTTGACAATACTAATTAAAGATTTAAAAAATAATTGTAATAAATTCTACATTCGCAGAAGTTAAATTTGTCTCAGTTTTATGCGGTCCACTGAAGGGAATTATCGGCTTATCTGATAAAGAAATATGCGAACTCGCTGATTATTTTCGTGTACAAGATGGACGAATTCTTTACAGGCAATTTTGCGAGGTCATTCACGACAGCGGTATGACGAATAATTTTTTACAAATGTGTCGCGAGATCACGATGGAGGAAAAATCTCGGTTTGAAAAATAATAAAATTTATTTATCCACAACAAATTGTTCCCCTCTCCCTCTCCTCATTCCCACCCCATTGAGTATTTTTTTTTTCTTTTCAAGTATGACAAGAATTTTTTCCTACAATGCGATTTCCAAAATTCCTACCAAAGTTTCTTTTCTTTTCTTCTTTTTTTTTATAAAAGGAACAACTGATGTTTCTTTCAAAATTCTATTGAAATCATTCTCTTTTATTTGAAACGAAAGATTAAGTTTTCCATTTCATTAGAAATAGAAAAAATAGATAATATTTTCAACCTTTAACAACAAATTTTGAAAAGAGAAAGTTACGAAATTAGAACACATTCTTAAATATAAAAATTAAAATGTAAAGAAAAGTCGTTTGCAGTTCCTGATTTTAGTGGGAACAAGCCATTCGTAACTGGATTGGAATGGGAAGATCCACTTCATGTTAATGTATTGAGTTCTACTGAACTTCGAAAGTTGTCTTTGATAATCACTCGGATTGCTGTATTGGTCAACAAGCGTAAGCTCGTTTTGAGGCCATACTTTCAAGATTACGAATTAGTACGTTTTATCAGGAAAAAATACTTAAAATAGATAAAACAATTTATCTAACGTTTATGTTTATCATTGAAAGAAAAAATAAAATAAAAAAAAGAAATAAAATTGAAAAATAATTTAGAAGATTAATATTTTCGTATAGATAGCAAAGAATGTGGGTACCGTTACTTATGCACATTTCGGCAGAGTATTGAAATTTCTCGGCATTGTTCTCGGCTCGGAAGAATTTTGTTTATTGGTTAAAAGATTTTCTAAGGATTCCTATACCATAAATTATGTTGCTTTCGTCAAGGCCATTGGCGAGGCACAAGATTACATGGAAAGATGCGGGATGCTTGATCTTTCCGGTGTAAGCAAATTATAAAAATAAAAATAATTATTTAATAATTAACGAGAAAGAGAGAGGAAAAATGACGACCAAGGAAGTTCCTGCTGTTCCTAAGATATTCTATCATTTAGAACGTGCATGAATTTTCTTATCTAATTATATTTCTACTATAAAAAAAAAGAACATGAATTTGAATGATTTAATAGAAACTATTAGATCAATTTCCTGGCCGAGTGATAACTGCAGAATTACCGAAACTTCCAAGGCCAGAAATTGGCAAGGTTGACTTAAATCGTGTTTTTGGGAAACAAATGGTGTTTCATCCTGTGACGAAATTACGAAAAGAACATATGTCGTTGACGGAAGTTATCAGACGAATTCAGAGACACATATTTGAGCATAGAATCCGCATCTCTGAATTCTTCAAGGTACCAATAATTTGATAATTTAAATAATCATATTAAAAAAGAAAAAAAGAAAAAAGAAAGAGAAAGTCTTAAAATTAAATTTTAATTGAATCAATCATTTTTAGGACTTTGATCCTTTGAACGATGGTAAAGTAACAGTGTCACAATTCAGAAGAGGATTAGATGCTCTCCAAGTTTCATCCTTAGGAAGACTTTACATTGCTGAGACAGATATTTGTTCGTTGATTACATTGTACAAAGATCCTAACGATCCTGATCGTGTTTGTTGGAGGACGTTCGAGGATGATATAAATCAAGGTATATTCAAGTGTATTTCCCATTTGGGAACTGAAATAAAAATCACTTATTTATATATATATATATAAAAAAAAAGAAATTAAATTAAATTATGTAAAGGTCGTTAGGAAGAATCTATTTTAAATATAGTACGGTAGTTAAATTTAATTCTTTCTTTACTAAAACGATCCATATATGGGCCGTTCATTCAAAGACCCCGTACGTACGGTCTTAAGAATCGTACCGTGCTACGATAATTATATGCGATTAATTAAATATACAATTGTTATTACAAATTCTAACAAAATATTCTTCGAAGTTTTCACCGTTAAGGAATTGGAAAAATTGCCAAATTTGCAAGTAATTTCTCCTCCGAAAGAAGTTGAGGAACTTGTTAAACGTGGTACGACTGATTGGCAATGCGAAAAAAAAACTATAAGAGAATTATGCGAGAATACGTTGCTAAAGGTACGGCGTAGGATCGAGGAACGACGGATTTTGTTGAAACAATTCTTTCAAAATTACGACAAGTAAAGAGAGAGACCTTGACAAATTTATATCGATCTAAGATATGTAAAAATATATGCGTGCTACGATTAATTGGTTGAAATTATAATTTTTTTGTTTTTTTTTTTCTCAAGACATAATCACGGTCACGTTTCGCGCGCACAAATGAGACAAGTTTTATCTACGGCGGCGGTGCTTTTATCACCCGAAGAGGAATTAGCACTCGAACAAAGATACAACGACGATTTGGGATTCAATTATTTTATTTTTTTACAAGAATTAGAAGCCAAACCAATAACTCAACCACTTTACGATCAAATGTTTAAACAAAAAATTCAAGTTAATGCCGAGAAAGTATCGAAACCTGGCACTGAAGATGAAACTAACGTTGTCCTTGTATTGGCAAAAATTAAGGCCAAGGTTGTGCGTGAAAGAATCAAGGTAAATTATTAAACCAAATATCTTGATACTAAATGATTCTGATATTTTCGATCATATTCTAAATCAACGCGATTATATTTTTCATTTTCATTTAGGTATCCGAATTTCTTAAACAATACGATACACATAACGAATTGAATATAACAATGGCGGATTTTGTACGGGGATTGGATCAACTTCGTTGTAATTTGAGTTCCACCGAAGTCGATACTATAGCGAAGATTTTTAAATCTCCTATGAAGTAGGATTAACGTTTTACAATTAAAATATATATATATAATCACATTTTTTTCTATTAAACTCGTCAATTTTCTTTTTCTGTTTTAATTAAATCAAAGACCAGGTTTTGTCGATTACGCGAGATTTGCCGAATGCGTAGAAGAAGCTGTGGCTATGGGTAGTTTGGAACGAGCACCATTAATTGTACCAATCCAACATATTCCTTCAGAAGCTAGCAGTAGAACATTTCTTAATTTTGACGAACGATATATTTTAAGTCAATCGATGGACAAATTGTGTACAATTAAACAAACAAATTTGGAAGAACTTTTTGCGGTTGGTACCTGATTGGTTTATCCAAATAAAAGAAAATATATATACATATAAATCAAATGAAATAAAAATGTTGATTAATCATTCAATTGTTCGTAGGATTACGATAAAGAAAATGTAGGCACCGTTACGAAGAATTGTTTGATGCGTGCTTTGTCTATTAGAGGAATGTTGAATTTGATTAGCAGCCGAGAATTAGATGTAATTTACAAATGTTTTTCTATCGAGAGAGCTGGCAATCTCGGATTTGATTATCGTGCATTTTTACGAGCATTGCGTTTATTGCAAGAAAATAAAACGGCTTTACCTCTTTAAAATATTCCCTCTTCTTTCATATTCGCATATAATCATTTTTATATTAGTCGTTCAATAAAAAATAAGATATTTTGACCATTAAAAAAAGAATTAAAAAAAATAAAACAAACTGTCTATTGTTTCGAATGTTTATACGAATAAGTAGAGGAGGATCATCCTTTCGACTTTCTTCAAAACTCGTTTTGTTCCTCTTCTATCAAGTGGATTACAAAACTCGTTTAACCAGGCTCCATTCTCTACGATTTCTTTTCTTTTCTTTTGTTCTTTTTCGTTTTTTATACTTTAAGAATAAAAGGTTTTTAATTCAGTAATATTCTTCTTCATTTTGTTTAAGCAACGTCTGTCAGAGAGATAATTTGTAATTACAAAGGTATACTGTTAAACAAAAATTAATATAATTATTATTATTTGTAATTAAATCAAATAAAAATAACATATAGATTGATTTTTAAAGATTGTGTCGACATCTGACAAAACTTATTTTCTTATCATTTACCTTCGCAGGTAACAAAGAATTCGATTTAAAACGTCGGTAACGTCGATAACATAGGAACACAATCGTATCGATAAAATTTGCTTACCTATTATTTTGATCGCTAGATGATAGCACGATACTAAATCTCTGAAAGAAAAACCGTAGAAAAGTCGGCATAGAACCTAAACACCAGCAAAAAATGAATAATTATTTTTAATTGTACACTTTATTAATTAATTACTTAATTAGTTATTAATAATTGAAAATACAAAAACGTTTTTTCTCATTTCTAAGCAAACTATTGAAGTTTTCTATTGTTTCTTGTTTTCAATCAATTGCTGACTTTTTGTTTGTCTGACTCCTCAACTTTCATTAATTAATTATCTTTTATTCATCGTTAATTAGTTGAAAATAATTATTACACTTTGAATAATTATGAAATGACGACGTCATGAGTGGGAGATATGTTATACACATGCACGATCACAAATTCAAGGCGCAAGCGCACTTTGAAAATAATGACAGTAAGCTTGGTATACCTGCAGGGAATATATTTAAAAGAACAAAATTATTATTTACAAAATATTTATCTATTGTTTATACAATATGAACGATTAACCTATTTCTTTTCACTACCCTATAGGTTTTGATATCAACTTTAAACAATACCGACGAAAAATAATTAAATACTTCCTCTTGGAAGATGACAATACAATACTTTTTTTTATTTATAAAAAAATAATTAAATAATAAAAATTAATCATAATCTCGTTTTTTATAATTTGCAAAAAGAAAAAGAAACAAAAGTAAAGTAGATATAATAGAAAGGAAAAACAATAATCCCTACACACTCGAACGTTATATTATCGGAATTAATAATAAATATTAATTAATCTTAGTAAATAGATAAAAATCTAAATTCATTAAAGTATCGTTAGACAGAGTATTGTGATTATCTTCTCGAAATTTTTATCAAGATAAAATTCAATTCAATGATAGGATTAAGAGTATTATCAACGTTGTAACCATCGAACACAATTTTATTATTAAAAATTGTTATTAACGTATATTAAAGACACTAATATTAACTTTTCGTGCGATTAATAACGATTTAAATTAATTTGTCTGCAATCTAATTCTATTAGAAAAATAAGTTTAATAATTAGGCTATATTAATTAAAAAAATAATTACGAAATTGCAATAAAAATTTGGAATGGAATTGTAGTAATGATAAAAAATGTAATGATAAAAAAAAATAAAACAAAAGCAAAAAAGGAAAATGTTATAATGAAAAATAGAAAGAAATTAGAGAAGAGTAGGTGGCTCGTTATCCTTGAAAGAAAAAAAAGCTGATAGGGTCCAGCAGAGTGTGGAAAGATACGAGATACGTCTCAACGAAAGTAAGGTATAGGCTCTTTGAAGTATGTCTTGTAAGCTCATAGGTCGTGGGGGTAATTGAGTGGTAAGTCTAAGATAGAAAAAGAAAGAAAGAAAGAGAGAGAGAGAGAGAGAGAGAGAGAAAGACCCTTGAGAAGCTCGTGCAAAAGATGCAAACCGAACAGAGACATGGAGGTCATGCTTCTTGACCTAATTTTATATTCATCGATGCTCTTCTATCAAAAATAATCATCCTCTCTTTTTTTTTCTCACTTATCATTTTAATAATAAAAAAAAATACATTCCTTTCAATCGATTAATCAATTAAATTTAAAACTTTGTTTCATATCAAAAGTCAGTACAATAAAAGTACAAATTATTACGTTGATTTATTAATGTGTTCATATTGATCATGAAAAAAAATTTATTATATTTATTTTATATCAACGTTATATTTCATTATGAATTAGTGTTTTCATTCTAACATATGTTCCGTATAGTAACATTATTGAATTAATTATAACAATGTGTTGCGTGTGTGTTTTCGTCGTATATGAAAATTAATTAAAACAAAAAGAATATATTATTTATTTTATAGTAATATCGTGTTAAATCAAATGCGATGCTGTTAATTGCAAATGATTCTATTAATTTCCACATTCAATTGAGGATTGTTTGTTTAAACAATTTTTAAATCCTCTCTCTCTTTCTCACAGATAAAATACAATTCTTATAAATATCAAAGAGAGAATAGCATTGTTGTATGATAAAAATGTTATAAAGATATCTTTTATCATATCTTGTTATATTCTGATTATTTTCGATTATGCGACTTAACTGTCTATATAAATCGTTAGAATTGGTTTTCTGTAATCAGTACAATTGTTATTTGAGACCCCATCATCAAAAGGTAAATCTTATAACTATTATTATTTTCAATTATAATCATATATTATATTATATTTGATTATAGTAATAATTAATCTAAATAATAAAATATTAATAAAATTGTGTTTCAGATACAGCAATAGCAACCATAACAATGAAACTACTTGCATTTCTATGCATTTTATTATTCGCTATAGCGACCTACGCTTCACCACCATTGGGAATACCCGAAGAAAATCTTTCTGAACAATGCAAGACCCCTAAATGTCCACAAAATAATGGCAAGGAAACAATTAATTTGCCTTATCCATTGGATTGTTTGTTATATATTTCTTGCGGTGCTGAACGACGAATTGAAACTTGTCCCGACAATTTAGTCTTCAACAAGGTAATTTTTTATCCTTATATTATAAATAAAATAAAATATCAGCCTTATCATTCATATTTGAGTCTGCAAAAGAATTTTCATATTTACATTAATTAATTTTCTATTAAAAAAAAATTGACAGAAAAAAGAAATTTATAATATTTATTTGATATCGGCGTTATTTAATTAATTACGAATTAGTTGTTTTCATTCAAACATAATAACATTATTAAATTAATTATGATAATGTTGTTTATTCGGTCAGTATATAATATAACTTAACAATTATATATAATTACATATTTCATTGATATTAAATATATTATTTAATAAGTTATTAATTATATATGTATATATACATTTATTTTTATAAATAAATCAATTAACAATTTTTGGATTGGAATTTGTTATCAGAAGATAATGAAAAAATATTGACCAAATAAAAAAGAAAAACGAAATGTTCGATGTCTCGCTTTAATCACGTTTCAAACGTACTATATACACATACATATACGCATACACGTATACAAACATATATATTAAAAAGGAAGGAAAGAAAGGAAAAAAAAAGAACCGGTTCCCTATTATAAGGACTCGACGTCACGAACGCGTGGCACGAGCCTCTCCGAGTAAAAAGTCACGACCTCGAAAGTCACCCTTGAAAAGTCTCTTGGAACTCGCGGTGCTTTCACCGTATCTAGTTACGGTGTTCGTTGTTCTCGTACTCGTCGTCGTCGTCGTCGTAGTAGTTATTGTAGTAGTAGTCGTGGTGGTCGGTTGCACACTTGCACACGTGTCCATTGTAAAACCCGGGTGCTTCACCTGACACGTGCCAATTTTCAATTCACATATTGGTGTCGAATGCGTAACTGCTTGACTCTTTGACACGACATTTTTGTCAAGGGTAGATACGTAAAATACCCTAATTGTATAAATCGATCAAAACGATTTTTTTCATTCATTTTTTTATAATAATAACTCTTGCTAATGTATACTCCTAATGTGTCAATGAACATTGTATCTTATCTTCTTATTTTAACATTTTTTTCTTCTATTTTATATATCTCATATTCTTTTCTAATCGTTATCGTTAGAAATTTGATAATACCTTGTGCGAATCAAGGCCAATCACATTGTTCTTTTCTTTTTTCTTCAATAATTTCATCAGCTTACATCGATATACATACTTATAGTGATTTTCTTTTCCCTTTTTTTTTATTATTATAGAAAACTGGATTCTGCGACACCCGCGAGAATGCTCAATGCGTACCATGCTGGCAATTATCATCACCGTAATGTTTCGACACGATAATCTTTTTTCTTTCACGGATTTATTGTAATTGATAAATTTTGAATGGATCGAATATAAGAAAAAAAAGTCTAAATAAAATTGTTATCATATTTATTTTCGAATGAAATCTTTTTACCTATTCCCTTAGCATCCCTTCACCCTTTTCTCTTTTTCCTTTTATGTTAGTTCTTGCAAACTGACTCGTTATTTCCGTCCTTTTAATGAACGACCATTTAGAGTTAATATTCGCAAATGTTAAGATATTTTCGTTTGTGATCTTCGAGTATACTCGAAAGTTTAGTCCCACTATAACGTTAGTTTAAAATGTCGGTAGAAGAAAAAAATGTAATATATTGCTAAAGGAAAACGAGCATACGGGTGGTGTTTGTGGATTGAATAGAGTGGGTCAAGTGATATCGATCATTTTTTGAAGAGATAGAAAGGAGATAGGTACACACAGAGAGAGAGAAAGAGAGAGAGTTATATTTATTGTTTTACACAAAAGCTAACGATTATATTCATGTTCATAAGCCAGCATGATTGGCGAACTCGATCAGGTTAACCCTTTTTATACAAAATATTATTCTTAAAGTATCCAAGGAAACGAAGAGAATTCGTTTTATTCTTTTTTTTCTTTTCCCGTAGAAGAAGCTAACGAGAAGATTCATTTTGTTAGATAGATAATTGGCAAATATGATTAAGGTGTTTCAAAACGTGTAATTAGTTAGCAAAAAAGAAAGCTCCGTTTGATATGAATTTAAATGTTCAGTAGGTATATTCTCAAGTGACCTATAACAAAGAAGAAAGGTGGCATACAACGGCACTAACACTATCGTATGTTAGCCATTAATAGATTTTCCCGTTCGTCCACAGCCTTCGATGTTTCTGACGTCAGCATTGTCAATGATTAACCGTCGAGAAGTTTTATCCATGATATCGAAAGATATTTCAAATTCCATCAAAAGTACTTTAATCGGTTTGGGGGTACTGGTTGTGGCAGTAAAAAATTCGACCTTGTCAATTCCAAAATTATTTGTCGAATAATTCTCAAACATTACAAATATTAGGATGAATCAAAAGTTCCTGCGTTTATTGCGTTATAAATTGTGTTATAAACTGCATGATGGATTGCATTTGTAAAATTGACATTTAGAAATATTAATAAAAAAATGCGCGAACTTTTGTTTCACCCTAATACTATGATAACTCAATAAAGTGAATACCCAATTGATCATTATACGCGTATAAATAAAACCGATATGTAGATATATATTGTCCAACGTAGGAACCGTGTCTGAGATCAATTATTTCTATTGAATATTTTTAAACAAAGTAAAAAAATAAATTTAAATTGTTCGTACGGAAAAGGACATCCATGAGAAAAAAAAGGAATTTAAATGGTGAAAAAAAGAAAAGAAAATAATTACAATTATAAATAATCGAAATGTATAGCAATTGCATCATCTAACGTTACGAATTTGACTAGATTTAATCCTAGAAATGAGAAAATATATTCTATATATCTATAGTAAGTTGTTTCGTAGTTGCTGGTTGTCCGTTGAGCGCCGACTCGTGAATTTTCACTCACAGTCCACGCCTCCTTCGGTAAGTTGGGTTTGGTGGTAGGGCTTTAGAGGAGAGCCTTGTTCGTATATGAAACAGGGATGGAATGAAGAAAACCAGAGAGAGGAAGAGAAAGAGGAAGGAGAGGGAGAGATGAGTATTGCGCGCGCGCCCCCTTACCCTTTACTCTTGGCAAAATGTCGACTTGTGTGACGTCACGCGGACCGAATCAATATCAGCGTATGGACTTCCGTACGTACAGAGAGCCACCGACCGTTCAGTACGGGGTGGCCTCCGCGACAGTCAGGGACAGTTCCTTTTGCCACCACCGATTAAAGGACAACGACAAGGAAACAATTCATCTTAACACGCCATCCTTTCTTATTCTTAATATCTTTATTTATTTCTTTCATCTACTTCTTATTCTATATTTAATTGAACATCTGAAAGTTACATTGAAATTTCTAACAAGAAAGAGAGGAAAGGGAAGAAGGAATTTTGTTGACCGTCAGTATCGTGTTAAAGTGTTTGATCAAACATGACGATAAAACAGTGTTGAGATACTTGGTAACAGGGTTACTGATTGTGGTGATCGTGAACGTAGAACTTTCCTCAGCAGTACTGGGTAAGTAACATTTTTTGGGATTAATTTTCTGGACGGGGAGAGGGAAGTGAGAGGATTTGTTTACTGTCTTATGATAGAATCGTAATTACGATGTTAAGTAATATATGCGTGCATATATTATGCATATATTATGGGTTCGTTTATCTTGTTTTTTCTTTTTTTTGCAAATGGGGTTCATGTTCATGTGAATCAGGTTGTTTAGGTCGTTGAAAAATGTGACGAAGAATGAACGGGTGAGTTGTGATTTTTCAGAGAGAGTGCCGTTGTACCGATCGATCGTGATCGGTGGCGGTACCAAACGGAAGTCTCCGAAGGGCGAAGAGACATTAGCGCAGAGAAGTAGAGGAGGACTTGGTGAATCGAGGAAAAATCGATGGCCATCAGCGCCCATGGGCGGCCTCGCGTTTAGGACAAGGAACAGCCCCTCCCAGAAGACCTCGCTCCGGTGGGGTGATTGCTGCCCCCCAAACCCCAATCCGCCGTCGTCGTCGGCCCTTTGGAAGAACCGCCAACGGGACATGCCGCCGGTGCCCGTTTGAGGCTGTCCCCCGTTGCTGCGTGATTGTACTCCTAGGGGTCTTCAGAGGTACATCTCATTTTTTTCATCTTCATCTTTTCTTACCCCTTTCATTGCCAATAATTAACGAACCATTTGTTTCACATCATTTCGATAAACGTTTAGTTTATTTGAATAAGGTACTCGTTTGACACGATTTATTAGTATTTCTATTGATTTAATATCTTAGGAATTAAAATGAGATCAATTAATTGATCATTCAGAAGATGATATCCTTGACAATCCTCAGGGCTATGATCTTTTTCATCCCCGTTCTCCAAAGGTCCGTCCACTAGCGAACCTTCTTCCTTCCTTCCTTCCTTCCTTCCCGACGATTAGAGTATAGACCCGGGACTAATTGGATCAGAGGGTTAACTCAACGGACCGATTTCGAATTGACTCTAACCCTTAAACATTATATTTACGGTTAACTGAACGCGTTTGATTTTAAAGTATGCATGCATACACATATTTAGTTAGGTACTTAAGTTTAACGCAGAATGTTTAATTCGATGGAAAAGCAAAGGTCTCTCTCTACCCGTGCTCATTTTTCCAATCCTTTTTTTATTTAGGAACGTTCAACCCTCAAACCCTATTTATTATTGTTAACCTTAAAAAGGTATCCAAACGTTCCGAAATCGGACCGGTCAGGAAGTCTGTGGGACCTCCGTTTTCGTCAACTCGAACATACGCCGTTGGAGCCGTACACCCCAAAGATGATCAACATCGCTGGCCTGATCTCGATTATATTGTTTTACGCGTTGATATTAGGCGTTGGAATATGGGCAGCAAGGAAAAAGGAGTCTGGCAACGACTCCGAGGAAGAGGTCATGTTAGCTGGCCGTTCGATCGGCTTATTCGTTGGGATCTTTACAATGACAGCAACATGGGTAGGTGGAGGTTACATCAACGGGACAGCAGAGGCCATTTACACGAAAGGCCTGGTCTGGTGTCAAGCACCATTCGGATACGCTCTGAGTCTTATTTTTGGTGAGTCTTTACTCATCTTGAACTTGGATTACATTTCACTTTCTTTACACAGTCATATATATATATATATATATATATCTCTGTGTGTCTGTGTATACGTGTGTCCGTGTATTTGTATTATTTGTAAATGTCTCGAGAGTTTCTTTCACTAATTTTTTTCACATTCTTTTCTTTTCTTTCTTTCTTTTTATTAAACTTATATCTCGGAAAACTAACTGTCTATAAGCAGCTGTCTTGGGTTTATTGCAAACTATTGTATAACATAAATTGGGCCAAGTTTGATAGATACAATTTAATTGAACGATTTGTAATTTTAAAAGCTAAGAATTAACTTAATCTTCTATCGGATATATATTTGAATTATAATTATCTTCAAGACATTTTTTAAATAGCTTCCTAAATTGGTTTTCATTCCTAAAATTGAACCTCCTTATTCGAATAAGTAAAAAAAAAGTTAATAAAAAGTAACGAATTATATAATTCATGTTGTTTCATTAATTTTGCGGAATTTTCTAAGTTTCATAACTTGGCCCGATGAATTATCATCTGATTAAAGAAGAAATTGATTTTTTTTATGACAGGTGGGATATTCTTTGCGAACAAGATGCGACAACAGGGGTACATCACTATGCTGGATCCGCTGCAAGATGCATTTGGGGAACGAATGGGTGGTCTTTTATTTCTTCCTGCTCTATGTGGCGAAGTATTTTGGGCAGCAGGTATTCTAGCTGCTTTGGGTGCCACATTAGCAGTAATCATTGACATGGATCAGGGTGCATCAGTCATTCTAAGCGCCTGCATCGCAGTTTTTTACACGCTCTTCGGCGGCCTCTATTCTGTCGCCTACACCGACGTCATCCAACTTTTCTGCATTTTCATCGGACTGGTAAATAAATACAATTAAAAATTAAAATAAAACACAAAAGAGAGAAAATTTATCTTCGCGCAAGTCATTTTCTTCAAGAATTTTTCATTTTTTTTTGTCAAGTATCAAAGTAGATAGATATACTAACCACCACAAAAATGCTCAACTATATTTCTTTTTGAATGGATCGATAACACACACACACACACACACACACATACATAGCCAAATAGAGAGAGGGAGAGAGAGAGAGAGAGAGACAGAGTGAGAGGCCTCTGTTATTTTCTATGTTAGTATTTGTATTAACAAATTCAACGTGTGTGGGTGGTAGTAGATTCAAGTGTAGGTGTTTGCGTAGGTGTTGACCTACTTTTATCAAGAGTTCTAGACTCTAGTCGACGTATCTTATTTCCAGGACACATATCCTTCCGATTATCATTAACGACGATGTCTTTGGTATAGTAATACATCTAAAAAAACAATATGTTATTCCTACGCGTGTAACAATCACTGAAAAGATAAAATCGAATTTTCTTTTTCTAAAAAATAACTTTAACATTGAATTTTGCAGATTAGCATTAATGTTACTTTTGCTCTATCTAAGATATTCATTAATCAAATTGAAATGATTGTCGTGATGTTTCTAAAGGTTCTTTCAGAATGCAATAAAAATACTTATAGAAATAAATAGAATAATCTTAGGAAAAAAATGAGAGTTCTATTCAATGCGCAAAGAGTATTTCTTCCGTGGATCATCCATTAACCATAATTAATCGAGATATAAATCAAATCCCTATCTCTATCTCCCTATCATCCTGTTTCGTGTCCGACGAGCGTGTTTGGTTGCAACATACTGAAGAGTAGGTTTTCTTCAAAGGGGAAGATATAGGAGGGTATATCATCCTTTTCATTGAGGAAATCTTTTTCAAAGTATTCGCAGATACCTGCACGTTACCATTGAATTATAAAATATTAAGATCAATATAAAGAATGAGAGAAAAAAGAAAAAAAAAACCAAATATATTATTAATTAAAAAAATCTAACAATAAATGAAATATTATTTATTTGAATGTTTAAGTGGATGTGCATTCCATTTGCCTGGTCCAACCCAAAGGTAGAGTCACTTAGTTCCATAGAAGTTGACTGGATCGGCGAGGTCAAAAGCGACGAGTATTTTTATTACATAGATTATGGGTTACTTCTGATATTTGGTGGCATACCTTGGCAAGTCTATTTCCAGAGAGTACTTTCATCTAAAACAGCTGGAAGAGCACAAGTTTTGAGTTACGTTGCTGCTTTCGGATGCATACTCATGGCTATACCACCTGTTCTCATTGGAGCGATAGCTAAGGCAACACGTAAGTACTCAAATATTCAATTCGTTTCAAATATGTTCATCCTATTGTTCAAATGTGATCTAAATTGGAGGAGTCGTTATTATACATTATTTGGAAAATCATTTCAGTGTTTTATCAATTGAAAAATATTAATCAGTACACGTACGAATCTAAAACAATATTTCAAAATTATTATAAATTATTTTAAATTAAATCGGTCTTAATAAAACGAGAATAATACTTACAATAAATTAGGTTTAAAAAATGTCAATAATTGTAGTAAAACAATAGTGACAAATGCAATCATTAAACCATCCCTTAATTTTGGAATATCGTTAGATGTAATTACGAGAGGTAGACAATTTTGTTGTTGTTGTTGTTAAAGATTCCACCCTCTGTATCTATAAAAGAGAGGGGGTTCGAATTAGATCTGGTATACTCGTCATCCCTTACGTTAGGAGTCTACTTGACATTTGCTACCACGACACCCGGCACTGCTGGTATTTATAAGCTTCGTGAATACAAAAGGGTGGGGAAAGAGGATATGGATGGGGAATGGGAATGAGGATGGGGATGAGGAATGAGGAATGAGAAGTAGGGATGAGAATAGGGTGACTAGACTAAGAGGGCGAGTTAGAAGGATCCGAAAACGTGTACAATACCGTGGGACCTTGTCCATGTGCTATCACTATCTCTATCTCTTTCTATCTTATGAAAATCAACGAGGGTGTGGTAATGCGACTCGACCACTAACGTGAAACACGACAACGTTCTGGAACTAATCCGACACCCTGTATATCGTTATCCGAAACTCCATTAACGTTCAAAAACGAAAATTGCCAGTGGAGTGGTATACTAATCATTTATTATTATTGATTACTATTATTTCTTTGAACTACTACTACCATCGTCGTAGTTCATCAATTTTACATTTTTTGTATATTTTTCTTTTCCATTTGAAATATGTATACGTTAATTGTATTTAATATTTTTTGTTGAATTTTTTCTGACCGAATTAAAGGGGGGGGGGATATTATGTTTCTTTATTGTCTTATTTATCATGTTACGTTTTATATTTGTCAAGTTAAAATTTAGTTTTAGTGTAGGAATTTAAATCAAACGTCAGATGTTTAATTTCGTTACGGTGACGATGTGAAATCATATCTTCGTAGAAACAGCTGGAACTTTCTCAGTTATTTTATACAAAACGCAACGTGTTCGATGTTATTTTTTTCACAGAGGATGTACGTACGCGCGCGCGCGTGTGTGTGTGAGTGTGTATGTGTGTTTATAGAATGATCATCGGCACGTGAGAAATTATTATGATCCGCTGGAACGTTCAACAACAGAACGTTCATTTCGTTCTTTCCTTCTTTTTTTCTTTCTTTTTTTTCTTTTCAATTATTATCATTTAAAACTTTCTATAAAATGTTCGAACATCGGAGTAAAACTTAATTATCTTTCGTATTCTTCGAAATTAATATAGAAAAATGTAAAATAATTTAAATGGTGTATTAAAAATGTTTTTGTTCTTAAAAAAAAAAAAAAATCCAAACAAAAAGGAAACAGAAATAAAATGAAGCAAATACGAACTCTCTCTCTCTCTTTCTATGAAACAAAACAAATCTTATAGTTCCACGAGTAGAAAATAGAAATGGCAGAAAGATCATGATCGAAGATGATGCTCCACTTTCCCTTATTTTCAGATGAAATCTGTACTACATTTAAAAGATTAGAAAGAGAAAGAGAAAGAGAACGTGAAAGCGTCCTCGGAACGAAGGTGAAATGCTTATTAACAGGTCAATCATTCATCTTCAATATTTTCTATCATTACCATTAATTTATATATATTATTAATTATTAATAATATCGTTTCTTACACGTCAACATGTAAAATTTCATTTTAAGTCTTCGAAAAGAATAATTTATTTTCTTTAAAATTCGTAGAAAAAATAATAATTAATAATATCAAATAAATAAAACATTAACTTTTGGAATAAATTTACATTCAAATTATATTAATTGACTGGTCATATAGATAATATTACAAATATATAATACTATTTAAATTAAAATTATCCGACTTTTGAAGAGATTTGTTGAGGGGTCATTTAATTAAATTAATTTTCATTTAGAATTTTGAGACAAATTAATTCTATAATTGTCGTAAAATAAAACAAAATAAAATAAAATAAAATTACTGAAATAAAAATACTTGGCCTAGAATAAATCGTGCGTGTGTTAATTAAAATTAATTTTCATTCTTTCGTGTTATGACAAATGATGGGATTGGTTTTCTATTTTTGTTTTTTTTTCAATATTTGTTACAGCTTGGAACGAGACAGATTATCACGGGCCATATCCATTAACGGAATCGGAAACAAGTATGATATTACCGATGGTGTTGCAATATCTAACACCAGATTTTGTTTCCTTTTTTGGATTGGGTGCAGTATCGGCAGCTGTTATGTCTTCGGCAGACAGTAGTATATTATCAGCCAGTTCGATGTTCGCTAGAAATGTTTACAAGTTGATCTTCCGACAGCGGGTGAGTTAAGTTTACACGTTTCCTTATAATAAATCATACACCTCGAATTTAATGGGACAATATTTTCTCTTAACTTGGTTTATATATACATCTCCTCCTCGATGTGTTTAGTAAACACACATATGACGATTAGCATTAGTAATAAACTCGATTTCTCGTACGAGATTTATCGAGTATCAAAGAATATATAATCAACGATCACTTTCATATCTTTTCATACGACTGTATGAAGTTAAATCGAGTTGTGGGATTATACATAAAAAAAGGATACATTTGATCAGCCTAACATCATGCTGAATTAACTTTTATATTATGTTGACTAATTCTAACACGTGTTATTTATAATATGAACATTTTTTTCATTACTAACGACCAATATAAGGGTTGCCCATGCAAAAAAACAGATCTGTATAAATGGCCGATTGACTTGTATCGAAGTAATAGCGAATTTAAACGCGCATATTTAAATAATCGAGTCATTGTCAATTTTGGTTCGAAAAATATTATGATATTTTTGCAATTAACGCAATTTAAATAAAAACATAATCAAATTTGTGGCAATTTTTGTATTTGTTTTTTATTTTATTTTTGTCAAACCAGGCATCGGAGATGGAAATAATTTGGGTGATGAGAGCAGGAATCGGAGTAGTTGGTGTGTTGAGTACGGTGATGGCCTTGACGATACCTTCGATCTACGGATTATGGTCGATGTGTTCCGACTTGGTTTATGTTATTCTCTTCCCGCAACTTTTAATGGTCGTCCATTTCAAGGAATATTGCAATACTTATGGCAGCTTATCCGCTTATACAATAGCATTTTTGGTGAGGGTCAGTGGAGGTGAACCATTGATGGGTTTACCAGCATTGATCCATTATCCTTGGTACGACGAAGAAACGCAAACGCAAATGTTCCCGTTTAGAACTATGGCGATGTTAATATCATTGGTGACATTGATCCTTGTATCGTACGGTACGCAGGTTGCTTTTGAATCTGGTAGACTGGCTCCTGGATACGACGTCTTTAGGTTCGTATATTTTCCATAATAAATTGTACAAAACGCCATTGAGATAGGTTATATTTCTTTCCAACGTTATTCTGTGTTATTTTCAACAAAATATTTAACAAAAGTTTCATCATTACTTCACGAAGTTTATAATGGAATATTAATATAATCATTTATTTGAGTTATATGTAAATTTAATTCTTAAAATAATAATAATGATAATAATAATAATTATTATTCGAACATGGTAAAAAGTCGCGGTTATTAACGGAGTAATTAAAATGAATTCTAACCCGAAAGAAAAATGATTCTCTACAACAACTTATATACCTGGAACAATCCCAAAGAAAACGAATCGTTTTGATTCCTGATTCCCAGATGTGTGGTAAACATACCGGAAGACGTTGAACGGGTTGGACCAGATCCAGCGGAAGGTGAACAAATGGCGGTCCTTGCTGCAGGAGCTGGAAGGCTTTACGGTAGCAAGGACGAATCACACGGACGAGTGAATCCAGCGCTCGAGCCGGACTACGACATGGAGCCGGGTTACAAGGCTGTTGTGCCACCTGAGGGGGTTCTCGATGGGGGCGGGGGAGGGGGACAATTAGGTCTTCATGGACCAAATGTTCCTCGCCAACCACAATCCAGCACCGCGTTCTAATTCCTGGTTCCGTGATCGGATGCTGTGACCAACAATAACTGCGGCGGTTCGGGTACGTCTTTCTAATTTCCTTTCTCATATTTAACCTATTTCTATCCTTCAAATAATGATTTTCATTTGTTTCTTTTCCTTACTTTCTTTCGTTTTTGCTTCTTCTCGTTAATCTTAGAGGATCCTTGAAAATTCTATCACTAATCGGTACAACGAATATTTCCTAAACAAAATATTTCGTTCTTAAAATTCATTTTCCTTCGAGACATCTGAACGTGTACTTAAAACTTAACGTAACGTAACGTAACGTAATTGAATCGTTCGATAAATTTCTTGTTGATAATCTAAATTATCAGGAATTTTGTCGGCCGATCCAACAAATATAAATGTGTTGCACGCTTACAATTAATCCTTGTTAAAACGTTATTACTTTTATGATGATCAAATGCATGACATAATACTACTAGTGCTAACCGTCCAGGTGAAAGAAACATTGTATTTGCTAAATATAATAGAGAACAAAATTCAAATTAAAATGATATAAAAAGAGGATAATTTTTAGGCAATAAAAATCTCAGATCGGGCGATGTCTTTCATCTATTCTCTTTCTCTCTTTCTCTCTCACTCACTGTTTCTCTATCACTTTATCTATTTCTTCCTTTCATTATGCGTGTTATCTATGATTCGGATAAACCAAAAAGAATATGAACAATCACATTTTCGGCAAATGTTTTTTATTCTTTTATTTTTAAATCGTTTGAAATTCAAGGACACCGATCAATTTCAACAACAAAAGGAATATAACATATTATATCTTATCTTTATCTTTGTCCTAAGAATATATAGATCCAAATGATCGATCCCACGGTTATGTTAGATTCGTGTCACGTTGGTAAATACGGCGTATAAATAATACATAAGATGAATTCGTTCGAAATAAATGAATTCTCGGTCAATGTTCTCTTTCCTAAATAAGAAAACGATTTATAATAAGAAACAAAGATAAAGATAAAGATAAATTAGATTAAAGTAATCGGAGTTCCTTGAACAAATGACGATTTTTCAATTGATTTAATAATTTGTTTGATTTTTTCGTACCCGTACCGCCTATTAGGCCTAGTAATTTCCTTGTTTTTATTTAAAAAAAATAAAAAATGAATAAATAAAAAATTA